ATGTGGGGGTCTGCAAAGGCCCGCAGGCCCTAGCCTCACCTCTGTCGTGGTGCAGGGAGGACACTGCCAGCTCTCTCCCTGACCCCGGGGTAGTGGAGGATGTGGTCAGACCGCCATCAGGCCAAGCTCTGCCACCTTTCAGAGCCCTCTGAAAGCCCAGGACTGGATGGGGGTGGGAAGCTGGGGCATATGGGAATGTGCACGGAAGCACATTGGGTGTCACAGCTGCCTGTCCTTGCCACCCAGAGGAGCTGACATTGTCTGCTATAAGCAGGGGGGCAGAGGGCATGGATAGAGGCACCCAGGACTTTACGTGTCCACGTGTGCTCCTGGCTGACCTCATGCTGCAGGAGAGGTCCTGGACACCCTGCTTGTGGCTGCATTGCTTGCTCGTCACTGCCTCCATCTGAGCCGCAATGGGGACCAAGATGCTCCCCATGCCCGGCACTGCTCCCGCCACCTGCTCAGCGCCAGGCACGGTGTGGATGCCCGTGTCCCTGCGGCCGCCTGTGCTGTCTTGGGGGAGAATGGCAGCGGGGTGGGTGAGAGCGGAGGGAACAGGAGGAGGCATCTGGCAGCCCTCCACTGTGTCAGGGTCACCAGCCGGCAGCGCGGCGGAGACCCGGCGGTGCAGATAGAGCCGGAGGAAAGTGCTTCTTGGCCCTGCAGCATGGGCTTCCTGCGGGCAGCACAGACTCGTCACGTCCCTGCTGCATGAAAGCTTGGGGCCGGGGCGATGTGCCCAAAGAAGCCCCTTACCTCGCTGCTCCTGTCGCTCTGCGGGGGGAGTTGCTGGTGGGAGATGTTGTTTTTTCCCAGTGTCCAGCTGTGTTTCCATTGCTGGAGCATCCTGCACCGTTCTGTGATGGTGCTTGGAGCAGTGGACCCCGCAGCTGCTCAGCACCGCAAAGGTGCCCAGGTGACTGTGGAGCCTGCAACAGGCAGCTGGAGTGGGCAGATGCTGGTCCCTTGCTGTCCTCACTCCCAGCGCTGGCACTGCCACCTTCTTTCACTCCCCACTCAGGGGACAGGGCAGTGAACAGGGGGACTTCCCCATTCCCAGGCATTTTGGGTCTGCAAAACTGTTCCTGGCTGGTTTTGGCAGAGCAAAAGTGCCGAATATCTAGCGGGGTTCAGAGCCACCAAGCTGGGATGGACTTCAGCCCCTTCAAACTACTGTGACCTCTTTTTTTCATACACTCTCCAATCTGTTTCTGTGACATTTCCACAGAATTCAAGCCAGTGACCTCCTATAGACACAGGATGACGGTCCAGAGAGGACGGAGCAGGTGAAGAGCTGCTCCTATGGGGATACTTAGCAGACCAAAGAGTAGGGTATAGGACACCCCAGCACCAACAAGTAGTCACCCACCAAGGTGCCAGATGGAGCAGGAGGAGAGCAGGGGATTGGCATTAATTCTTTGAGATCCCTGAAATCCCCTGAATTGCTGCCCCATTTGATACTTGGCTGCACTGGGTGCAGCTATTCCCTCCACCCCTCCTGCCGCAGGATGGGGACCCACAGCTCCCACCTCTCCCTGTGCAGGAAGGGATGCTGGAATCCACAGTCCAGCACCCAAACCAGGGTGTTCTAGCCCAGATATCTCCCCTGGGAACGCCGTCCTCTCCCAGGATGGGAATGGATCTCTAGGGTCCTGCCATGCCGGGATGTGCCTGCTTTTTCTGGGACTGCTGTGTCTGTCCAATGCTTGGAGCTGTTGCAGGGAGCCTGGGATGGGAACAAGGTTGGACACAGAGCTGGCGGGGTGACCCCAGCCCCCCTGTTCCACCAGGACCCCCTCGTGCTGCATTTTTGGCACTGGCTAGGGATGCCAGGGTCAGTGCTGCAGCCGGGGATGGTGTGCAGGTCCAGAAGTGGCACCGGGCGCTGCTGGGTGCAGTGCAGGGGCGACACCCTGTGGCCACCTCTCCACTGCAAGAGGGGGCACAGCACCATCCCCTCACCTCCCACCGCATCCCCCTGGCCCTCCAGCCCATCCGGGGGTCTCCCTGGAGGGCCATCCCCCTGCCTGGGACCGTGGCCAAGCTCACGACTCGCCCTGTCAGTTGTGACAGGGTCATTAAGGAAATAGCAGCCGAGCCCCCAGAGCCATCCCCGCCTCCCCGATGCTGCCCGTGCTGTGAGGCTCGGCAAGCCGCCCCGTTGGAGTGACCCAAGGAAGGTCCTGTCATGAAGCAGGGTAGGTGGTGGATGGTTGGAGCTGCTGGGTGACATCTCTGGGATCTGTCTCCTTCACTGTCACCTGCTGCCTGGAGAACCCTGTTTTGATGCCCAACAGCTTGCCACAAAGCTGTCCCAGCCCTCCGGGTCACCTCTGTCCACATGGCTCTCCAAGCACATCAAGAGCAGATGCTGACTCTGGTGAGGAACATGCAACAGTCACCTCGTGTGACCCTGGGGCACATGGAGCAGGCAGGTGCCCCGGCTTGGATGAGGCCCTATTCTGCACCCCGGGGTGCTGGGCTGAGTACCCACTTCACCTGCAAGCTGAGGTTTTGGGGGTGTCATGGCAGTGTGGTGCAATGGCTGAGCACCCAGCAGAGGGTGCAGCGTCCCCGCAGAGCAGGGCCCTGTTCTGCCCCAGACCCTGGCACAGCACCCAGCATGATGGGGTCCTCATGGGAGAGCACCCTGATCAGGCAGGGTGGGCAACCATGGGAGAGATGGGAGCAGGGTCAGCAAAGGGGCTCCTGCACCAGCCTCAAATCCCACTGGAGCGCACGATGCTTTGGTGTGGGGCCTCCAGGGCTGCGGCTCATTCCACATCCAGCACAGAAGAGCTGAGCACCTCCCTGCCCTTTTTGCTGAACATTGATGGTGTTAGTGGGACCTGTCCAAGGTACCTTCAGATCCTGCGGGGTGCTCAGAGCATGGATTTGGGCTGCAGGCAACCAGTACTTCCCACCCTGGGGCCCTCTGTACCAGTCTGTACTCTGTCCCAGTCCAGCCCAGCTCTCTCCTTTCCCTGCTCAGTGTGAGGGTGTGAGGAAGTGGCTAGTGAGACTGTTTTACACAGGAGCGCATGCTTCATGCCAGGAAAATTACAGATTTGCTCTCCTGCACTGAGTCGTCCTCTCATCGCAGAGCTAACATGAGACCCCTTGATGGGTCTGGAGTCGAGCAGGACAGCCTTGGGGAGAAATCCTGCCCACAGAAGCAGGGCTTCCTCCATGGGCAGAGCCATGCTGTGTGAGCTATAGTGTGAAAAGAGCATGGAAAGACCAGCCTTTAGCAAGATGTCCTCTGCCATGAACCTGAGTGCAGGCGCTGCACGTGTCTTGCTCACAGGGCAGGAGCAGCGGGCACAAAACTGGGACTCGAGCAAGGCATCTTGGTACCCCGGGAGACCCCACAGGGGCCAGAGCACACACCGTGGCTGTGGCCAGGCACAGGGCAGCCCTCCCCACTCCTGCCCTTCCCCACTCCATAACAGCCCTCCTAATCCCGGCTGGAATCCTGGGATGGTGGTATCACTAGCAGCAGCTTCTCCTGGCTGCTCAGTGGATGTCTCTACCCCTGGAGGAGCCTCCCAGCTCTGGGGACCTGCCCCTGTGATGCCTCTTTCCAGGGCTCCTTTGTGTCTCCAACCTTGGGGATGTTTTCAAGTCTTCCAGCGCAACCTCGAGCTTGTGGGGCTGCCCTGTGAGGGCTGGAGAGCATGCAGGCTCCTGGTGCGTCCCCTGTGGAGTCAGGGGCTGGCAGGGCACATGCCCCGGAAGGACGGCAGCCAGAGGGGAGTCAGACACTGCTGTTTAATGGACGATTCTCGGTACAGAGCTGGTGTTATGACGCACATGGCCCCCACTGCCTCTTTGCCCCGCCCTGGCTCCAGCCCAGCCCCCTCTCTGTCCCCAAAATGTCCCCTGAACGGCACTGCATGAGGCTGGAAGCCTCATGAGAAATGTGGCTGCAGCAGTCATGAGAAATGTGGCCGGAGCAGTGCGGGCACGTGGCACTGGGGAGTCTCCTGATACTGCATCGCATCTCCGCAAGCTCCCGCTGTTGATGGGCTGAGCCAGTGCTGACTGCGGGATTGGGGTTGTCCCTGCATGAGGTCTGGGGGATCCTTGGGCATCTCCAGCCCAACCATGGGGTCATCCCATTGTGGGGTCTGGGGCATCCGGGGCGCCTCCTGACCCACATGTGGGAGCTTCCCCGCAGTGGGGCCAGGTCATCCGGGGCGCCCCTGCCCCACATACAGGTTTGTCCCTGCAGGGGGTGTGGGGCATGTGGGGCACCCCCTGCCCCACACATGTGGCTGTCCCCACAGTGGGGCCAGGACAGCGTCTGTGCCCAGGTCCTGGGGTCACTCTCGCCCTTCACTAGAGGGGCCCAGGAGGAGCCAGCTCTGTTTTCCCCCAGCCAATCAGAGTGCAGAACACGCTGGGGCTGTCCCCCACTCAGATCTCCAGCCAGTCATAGCCTGGCACCTGCTGGGCCCCACCCTGCGCAGGCCACTCTCCGCCAATCCGAA